CTGATGTTCTATTTTAAAGGATACAAGATTATCCTCCATAACTATAGAAAATGTCCCAAAGACAACATTCCTGAATGATTTTATGTAATTCATAAAACATTCTCAACATTTTCAACCATCCTCCTTATTGGAGTACTCAAAACGTGTTAAGATTGCTCATGAACAAAAAGTTTTGCCAATTTTTAAATTACTTAAAGATCCATCAGCATTATCAGAATAAAAATCATAAGTAAAAAGGGATTATTTTTTAATATCGTTTTTTTCAGATGCTAGCAAAGTATTTTTTAACCTATAGTATTCAGAAACATCTTCACCATTCACCTGCACTCCTGGAACAAACCTTTATGGCTCACTGATTCAATATCGGGATTCAACCCTTTTAATAGAAAATAATGCAAATTTCAGCACACATCTCCATCCCTCAAAACCGTGGGCCCAGTCCTCAATGTTTCTGTTGGTAGCCCAGACACAAAGAACAGTGTTCCTGTTATTCTTTAACTTTTCACAGGAACAACTGATTTATCTGCACCTTTTCACTTTCTAAATATATTCTTTACCCTCCCAATTTCAGTTCTTACTCCTTTGCACAGCTAATATATTTTAAAAATAACAAAAGCACAAAACACTGTAATAACATTATATTCAGAAATTGCAACCCAACCGTAAATTGGATAAAGTGGATAAAAATGGATGGACATTCATCAATGATGAATTAATTGATTTTAGTAAGAACTATGATTCCTGTGTATAACTGTTTCTGTACAATCTAAAATATAATTAAGGGGCACTTGTATTATGGACATACTGCTTCTTCTTAAGTTTCAAACACTTGCTTGTCTACATTACTCATAGTCTAAGCATGGATAGCCATTAGGGAAATCAGGAAGCACTTCCCAGCTGTGATCCTTGAAATCCCTTTGGTGTTCACTGTACTTCAGCTGTTAATTACCTTTGGCATTTTCCAGTCCATATCCTGGAGTACCTCTGTCTTCTGGTTTCCATTCAAAATTAGCTATGTCAGTTTGGCACAGTAAGCTCCCAAATTGAATCATTTGATTGCATTTCTTAAATGATTGAAGTATTTTGACAGTTGAACAAGGTTAGAAACTAGCATGGAACAAATGCTGAGCACCAGTTCTGTATGCTTTTTTTTATTACGTCATTGACCTGGTTCAATTTAACCAATGAACATCCGCAGCACTAAGATCTTTTACTATGAAAATGTTTGACTGCGTCATTCCCACTGTCAATTATCAAGTAATCAGTTGATGATAAGTGTTGTTTAGAAAGCAACACTTATCACTTATCATCTAAAGGAGAACAGTGATTTTCAAGCATGTTGAACAAGAGTTCAGGTCTTTATGTTTCTTGGAAATGACTCGCATGACCTAAAGGAGAATACTGGTGAGACAAAATCCTGAGTACAGAAAACAGTTAAAAATCACACCATTGGCTCAATTGACAACTCAGTAAGCTTGGTTACGAGCCAGCATGAAATGAAAACCAGGGGATTCAAAGAACTTACAGATCACAATGTGGTAGTAAAGAGGGACTCACGGATAGAAGACTTGCAGGGGTCGCTATGGCTGCTCTCGTTAGACTGGTTGCTGGAGACCGAGGACACACTGGCGCTGCGCACAAAACCAAAAGCAGCGAGCCGTGCAGCAGGCAGGCGTGAATAACCTGGCGGGCGCAGGCCGGACTGACCTGGCTTGGGAAAGTGAGACCTTGTAGGAGTGCCCGGGATGTTCTTCCTCTGGTCCACTATAAGAAGACACAAGACTAAAGTGAGACGCAGTGTTTCATACAGCAATAATGAAGTCCAACCCAATGGGGAGGCTTCCACGCTTCGTGATACAGAGTGAGATGCTGAAAGTAAATAAAAGCCAAGCAAATCCAGCAAATGATAAATTTGATAAAAGAATTGGTGCTAGGCATCAGTAGAGCAAAGGTTTCAGAACATCTCTTCTGCTGAAGCAAAAAGGGTTTGGAAGTATTGTGTTGCTTTATTTAGCTTGCAGAAGCTTGACTTTTTCTTATGAAAAGTAATGTAATGGCTGTATTTAAGCACAGCAGTTGTTATATTGTACATTATACTGAACTGATATGGCAAGTTTATGACAGTTCAATTGATATGATGGATGCAAATCATGGCTGTAAATACATTAATGAACTGAACGTTGGTTCCAATTTTGAAAGTGTTCAGCTATAAGACACTGAATTTGACTCAACAAAGGTTCAAAGTTGATTCGGTTCACAACTCCCATTCAATCTTCGTTTTATTTGAAATGAAATGACAATCACATACAGTACCAGGAAAACTTTAATATTTCATCTGTATTCTGCTAAAAAAAAGTTTACACAGAAAGTTTACTTTAGATTCTAGTCACCTTTAAGACTTGTCTAGCTTCTTACTGTGCTGCTCCCCCTGGAATACTCTTCATAAATGACAAACTGTTTGGAAAACAGTAGGGAAGATGGGAAGCTACCAAAATAAATCTTCTCAAAGACAGTCTACTTGACTGATCCCAAGATACCCATAAGAAAATCGTGAGGTATATACTTAAGAGACTGAATTCCATTGGAAGGATGAGTTACCAAGACTCAGTTCAAGTCTCTCATTTTTCTGTTACCTCAGTGCTTTAAGAACATCAAGAAAGATTGAAAATAAGGAGAGACACTTCATTCTTTCCTGTTAGTAAATAGTCTTAAGATTCTTGAAAGGTCCCAATACCTTGTGGTAGCATCTAACACATACCTGTACTCATGACTGTATATTCTTGATGAAAGTTCAGTGTTACTCCATTTACAATAACTATGACTATAAACTGCCTTCATATGCAATTTCGATATGCATGTAAGGTACTTTGTATATACTGCAACATTTAAAGTTTAATAAATTAGAATATTTTTAGATATGGTCCATATAGTTCATCTTCCTCATTTGGTTATAAGCAGCTTGTTCATTTAAAATAACATCTACATGTAGCTGTGTTTTAAAGATTCCAGAACATTTGCAGTTACCAGCATGCAGGATTGCGCGTTCCCGGCACCTAAGACTGCATAAAGAACTGCCTCCTATCTACATTCTTAAGTACACTATCTCTTCAATGTCCATTTCAATTACACTCATTTCTGATCCTGAAGCAGGCAAGTGAGTTGACTTTCAAAATCTTGAAGACTCTGAATGGTTCCAAAATACTAACTACTGCTCTGAAAACATCTGTAAGCACCGAGCTCTACTGGAACTCCTTTATCATACATGCATCATTTTTGTTTTCAAATGTAGATGGAGTGTAGTTAAAACATGTTCAGTTGCAAGAAAAAGTTTTGAAAAAAGTGAACCCTTTGGAGTGACCTGGATTTCTGCATTAATTACTCATAAAAATGTGATCTGATCTTCAACTAAGTCACAATAATAGACAAACACAATCTGCTTAAACTAATAACACACAAACAATTGTGCTTCTTGTCAGTACTGAACACATCATTAAAGCAATGACAGTCTATGTTGGAAAAAGTATGTGAACCTCTAGACTAATGACTTCTCCAAATGCTAATTGGTGGTGTGGGTTGGAGGTGCCCTGCCCTATAAAAAAGAAACACAAAGGTTGGTTACTGACAGAGTCTGCTCTTATCAAGAAAGAGTTCATGTGAACCATGCCCTGATCATAAGAAATATCAGGGGAACTTAGAAGAAGAATTGTAGAGATGCATACTGTAAAGCTGGAAAATGCCTGGGTGTTCATCAATCCACAGTAAGACAAACTGTCTATAAATGGAGGAAATTTTGTACCGATGCTACTCTCCCTAGGAGTGGGTGTCCTGCAAAGATCATGGCAAGAGCGCAGTGTGCAATTCTGAAAGGTGAAAAAGAACACTAGGTTAACAGCAAAGGACCAGCAGAAATCTCTTGAACTTGCCAAGGTCTCTGTTCATGTGTCCACTATAAAAAAAACACTGAACAAGAATGGTGTTAATGGAAGGACACCACAGAGGAAACCACTGATCTCCAAACCAAAAAAACACATGGCTGCACGTTTGCAAAAGACCACCTGGATGTTCCACGACATCAATGTTCTATAGACGGATGAGACAAAAGTTTATCTCTGGCAGAAATGTGAAACGCTGTTCGGAGAGGAATAAAAGCACCTCATCCCAACTGTGAAGCATGTGGAGGGAGCATCATGGTTTGGGTATGCTTTGCTGCCTCAGGGCCTGGGCAGCTTGTTATCATAGAGGGAACAATGAATTCAAAATTGTATCAAGAAATTTTACAGGAGAATGTCAGGGTAGTGGTCCATCACCTGAAGCTTAATAGAAGTTGGGTGATGCAACAAGACAATGACCCAAAATGGAGAAGTAAATCAACAACAGAATGGCTTAAACAGAAGAAAAATTTGTGTTCTGGAATGGCCAAGTCCAGACCTCAACCTAACTGAGATGCTGGGGCATGACCTGGAGAGAGCTGTTCACGTATGGAATTCAAGAAATATTAATGAACTGAAACAGTTTTGTAAGAAGGAATTTGGTGGAGGTTATTGTTGCTAAAGGAAGTTCTACCAGTTACTAAATATAAGGGTTCACATACTTTTTCCAGCCTGGACTGTGACTGTTTAAACGATGTGTTCAATATTAACAAGAAGCAGTACAATTGTTTGTGTGTTATTAGTTTAAGCAGATTTGTGTTGGTCTATTATTGTGACTTATTGTGGTGGAAGATCAGACCACATTTTTTATGAGTAATGCAGAAATCCAGGTCATTCCAAAGGGTTCACAAACTTCTTCTTGCAACTGTACCTACAATGATCTAAATGTATCCCTCCACTAATAGTTTTGTGACCACCAAAGCTAGGTGTTTAAATAATGAGGGTCAGGAACAGGGAGATTTTCTCTAAAAACAACAGAAGTTCCAAACAACAGGATGCCATTCGGCTCACATAGCCCATTTGGTAGTTAGCAGTTCACTGATCCAAGGATCTCATCCAGCATGTTTTTTGAAAGAAGCCAGGGTATCATCTACATGGCTGAATGACTTGCACCCCCGGTTCATGTTTCAGTGTTCTTTCTGAAGAAATATCAGTCTTCTGTGGGGCAGTAAAGGGGTGCAGTGGTTACCTTGATGCCTCACAGCACTGGGGACTTGTGGTGCTATTTGTATGGTTTGTATGTTCTCCTTTTGTTCATACAGTTTGTGTTACCCTGATGTGCTCTGGTTTGCAACCACATCCTCCAAAGATTACCACATACAAATCAAAAGACATACTGTACTAGTTGATTAATTGGCTCTATGGAAAATTATCCCTGGTGTTTGTGACTGTGCTCAGATTTTGGCTTTTGTAGGCACTTTCACTCCGAAGTGTGCAAAAAGAGAGATAAACGCCAATTGAATTGTCGAGTGACATGACGCACTTTAAACTATACCAACGCTAAGCCATGTGATTGATGGAGCGAGTCGAGTGGCCATCACTTTGATACTTCTAGTTTCTAGAACAGCCACTAGATAGCGCATGTTTTTTTATTTGGAGCACCTAGAGTCAATTGCAAGCGTGTTGTTTCAGATTGTTTTTCATTAGTCACTACTGTTTACCTTCTTCGTAGGGCCTAGGTACTGTACCTACAGTGCCTAATGGGAAATCCGGCACTGGCGAGGGCTCCCCCATGACCCTGAACAGGATAAAGCAGAAATGCATGGATGGATAGTCTTCTGTGTTCAAAACAAAAAAAAAGGTTCTGTTCTCTCCCGAGTAGCAGATTCTAGAGCAGCAATATCTTTCATAACATGGTGACCAGAGTTGTACAAAACTCTCTAAATAAGCCCCTATTAGTGTGTTATATAATACAATTATATTATAATACAATTAATATATAACATTATGTAAATCTTTTGCTCTTAACCTAGGTTTTGTTTCCCCATATTGTCAAGATACACATAATTTGAGTTTCATTAGTAGCCTCTGTTTGCTAAGCATTTCCCATTTTGTATTTATTGCTTTTAACAGTTTTTATTACTTACTTTCAAAACCCCGTACTTAACATTAAACGTGATCCCAGGTGTTTGCCTAGACTTGAATTTTATCTAAATCTTTTTGCATTTCATTTGCTGCTTCTACAGTATTTGATAATTCTCCTAATTTGGCATCATCTGCAATGCTCATTGAATATCTTTAATGTTCAAACCGTTTCATCAGACGTTGCATTTTGGCTTCTTTTTTTAAACGATTCCTTTACAGTAATCCACTGCTTTATTGTAAAGGTGCCACCTACATCTTAATGCTTCTTTCAAACCATTGAATAATGTAATTCTTTAGCACTTAAGTCCCTTTTCAGGGATCTAAAACTGGCATATATATAATTATAACAATTCAAATGAATTGTACAAAAGGCTGCTGAGATGAAATGTAGTAATACCAAGAAAAGGGGATTAATAAGAAACATACAATGTGGGTTATATAGATTTCCTTGTCATCTAGACTCCCACTGCTTGTGGGGAGTAAAAGGCTTAAGTGTCAGTATCGGTAAAAGATTGGGTCTTAGAATTTACTACTCTTGGAGGTGGGGGCTATTACTGCTAAAAGAATTACCATCAGATAAAACCTATGAAAATCTCGCTGAAGCTCATGGGAAAGAAAGGATTGCATTATTTCTATTACACTTTAAAAAGAGGTGGGCTTATCAAACCCCCTCACATACTTAATCAATTGGTGCTGCTGTCCTATGCCATTTACTTTTAATAGCTGAAGGATATCCATTTTCCAGATCAG